CTCCTGGTATTGCTACTCTCATTTTTGGTCCTGAGGGGGTTGTCTGTCCTGGATTCCCTGTGTTTCTAGTTCCTATCTGTACCAGTGTACATCCTCTGGTCTTGCCAGATTTGTAAGGTAGAATTGGGATCCTGATAGTGTGGGGAAGGATGCATTAAAGAACTAGAGGAAAGTTATATGTTTTCCCTGTGCTATACTGCACCCTGACTGGCTGGTCTCTTCCTTGTGACCCCAGATGAAAAGGGGATGGCCCCTCTCTCTTGCCCAGAGCCCTCCGCCCATCAGGGTACCCACTTGAGCAGGCGCAGCCCCCAGGACAAGGAGCCAGGGCAGCTTGGGAAGCCAGGGAAGGGGAAGGAAGAGCAGGCCCACAGGCTGAGACCCAAGGGGCAGCCCAAGAGGAGAGCACCTAGATAAGATAAACAGGATAAACAATCCAGAGGAGAAAACAACGGGACCCTCGGTTCCGGGGACATGGGAGAGGGGAGGCAGGTAAGGGAAGTGGGTGTTTACAAACCCAGGGACAAGGGAACAGCAAGTGATCTAAAATCAATGGTGAGGAGGGTGTAGGGCTTGATCAAGGGCAGTGTAACCGAGAGGAATTACTGAAACCAGAATGAAGGCTGAGCATGACAGTGGCACAAGAGGAAAGTAAAAGGAAATAGAGGAAAGAACGAGGAGGCAAAGGGCATTTATTGAGGTCTAAATATAGGCATGTACATATGTAAATATATATAATGATAGGGAAATAGATCTGTGTACATATATCAAGGTAGCAGACAGACATTGGGCCTCTACTCAAGTACTCCCTCAACTCTAGAACACTTTGTTCTAATAAGCTGGCTCACTTTCCCTACATGATTGCTAAAGACAAAGCCAGTGCATAGCAAATGTGGTAAAGAAAGCTGATGGTGCCCAGCTATCAAAAGATATAGTGTCTGGGGTCTTAAAGGCTTGAAGATAAACAAGAGGCCATCTAGCTGATATCCAATTGTCTACAGATGGGCTTTGAGTCTCCACTCCGCACTCATTTTCATTCACATTGATATGATTTTTTGTTCTGGGTCTTTGGTGCCTGATAACTGATTCCCATTGACACCTCATGATCACACAGGCTGGTGTGCTTTTTCCATGTGGGTTTTGTTGCTTTTCAGCTAGATGGAGGACCCCTGAGCAGTAGCTCTGCCTCCCTCCCTGCCCCTCTCTGTTCCCACTCACGGGGTGCCCAGAGTGGCAGGGTGCTGCAGGGGGTTTCTGGTGGCTGATTTAAAAAAAAAAAAGTAGATTGCCTGGCCTTTCTTAGGCACCTCTGGACGTGACCTGAGTGAGTCAAGTCCCTGCAGATCTCAGGGCCTGGTGTTGCACCCAGAAGAATGCTCTTCATGGGAGCATGCTAGGTCTGCTCCTGGGTACCCTTGAGATTGGGTTTGGCCCCAGGAAGCTGAGCTCCCAGGAGTGGAGAGGGTGGGCATCCAGTTCCTGGAGCACAGAGCTGGAGGGACCGCTGCAGCTATGGCTGCAGCACCAGTCTGGAAATCTGGCCTCAGGGGGAGCTTTCAATCAGGATGTGCGGTGGGTGGGGCGGCCTGGGAGGTCCAGGAGCCAGGTCCGACTCCAGGCCAGATGTGCAGGGACACAGCCAGGTTCGCGTGATCTGGCAGCCTGGAGCCAGGGCCCTGCTTGCTCTAGCTCCCCTGGGCTTGCAGCTTGGCCTTTGTTTCTCTCTAGGGCTAGTCCTCAGACCTCCCCTGTGGCTGGCCACTTCTCCAGGGAGCCTCAGGCTGGGTGCCACCAGGGCCCCTGGGCCTCACTGAGTTGCTAATACAGAGAAGAGGGGACCTAAGGGCCCAGAGGGCTGGTGGGTGGTATTGAGCCCAGTAACCAGGGCTTCCGATGCAGGCTCTGTGCCCTGAACCAGAGCTGGGCTGTTCTTAGTGGCTGCCTGAGCTGATTCTGAAAAGCCTCAGCTGCTCTCGGCCACCCAGAGGAAAGAGGACCAAGAGCCCAGGAACCGGCCTGGCCGTCCCTTTTCCCGCAGAAGGCCTCCCGGCTGGCTCATGGAGAAGCTCAGACCGAGACCACCAAGCGAGGGGCACAATCCCCTGAGCCACTGTCTCCGGGTTTCACCTGAAACAATCTGCATATACGCTGACGGGTCCTTCCTCTGGCGGGGGTGGGGG